GCAACATATGAACAGTTTGTAAGATTTTTGAAACGCAAAGAATGTGTCAAATGTTTATCAAGGTTCTAGGAGGATCTATATGCAGATTTCTAATATTTTGATATAGTTTTTTGAAACTTCCTGAAAACAAACAACAGATCGGTATTTTAATAGCAAAGTTCAAAACGACAAATCAAACCTTTAGCAAAAGCTTTTAATCCAAATAGAATTTGTCATTTATCTATCTCGCGAAGAATCGAACTCAAAATAGACTGCACATCCACATTATAGCAGAAAGCTTTTAGTAAAAATTAGAAGCATCTAGCTATTGTAATTGCTGAGATCTCAGCCGGACAGCCAGCTCGAATAGCGTATTTTTTCCAAAAATGCGCTAAAAATAAGAATGAATAAAAATGTAATAGAAATCACTAACACGCAAAATTGAGATTAATGAATTTTGTAAGGTAGATACATATTACATATTAAAGACGCCTTACAGGATCTGACTGCAGAAAACCGATAATAATAGTAATAATAATAATATATATTTACCCAATAGCATTTGCGTACATGGGAGTTTGTCGTCTATATGAGATCCTTCGATCTTTCTTTTGCCATCCATGTTTAATTGTACCTGGATCTGGTACGCTATCTTCTGCCGTCTGCAGCGTGGTAGAGAAGTAGTGCATGTTCCGGTTGGGGGTCTACTTTTTGGATTCTGCTTTAAATGACAAAATATATATTTCTTATTTTACGTTATGACTATTATAAGGTGCTGAGAAATTTGGCTACGTACGAAAGCCAAGCGGTGGAATGAATTTCCACAAGCTCATCGTCCTTTTTAACCAATGTGCATAATGACGCTCCATAAAGCACTGGACATACATCTTTGTTTACATTTCCCGAAAGCAGAAAATTGACCAGGTCTGTAATTGCTGTCAGTGCTCGTTTACCAGCCCCACCAGCTGTATGTGATATTAATTGTTTTAGAAATTGTGGCCTAAATCCATCCAATCCAGGAGCTGAACCTGGTTTGAAGGTGTTGCTACTGTATAGACTGTATAGAATTTAAGCACCATAGGAATTTCAATGCTAATTTCTTTATATCGAAATATTTTCTCCCCTAATTAATTTAAAGCAAAGTTGTAAATAGGTTTCTTGTACCTTGAAAAATTCTGCGTCTGCTCATGTCCTCGTTTATTATTTTTCAATTCGGGAAACCGGAAAAATAAATAAATTAGAATCTAGTATTATCGTAAAAATCGAAATTTTGTTTCAATAATTACATTTATAATTATAATTATTATAAATTCCTTAGTTTCTCCGATTTTCCACAACAAAAAATTACAAATGGGCACATGAATCGACGAAGAATTTTGCAATCTACAAAAAATGTTATTTACAACTTTGCGGTACAATAATTAGGGGAGAAAATATTTCAATATAAAGAAATTACCACTGAAAACCTTATGGCGCGTAAATCGTTTCTACACCCTGTATAGTGTATACGTACATCTTGCTTAAAACAAATGCGTTTTCTCTCAACGTCCGATTTTTTGTGGGTGCGTTCTCTTCCGCTCTGGTGCACGGAACAAGTTGTTTTTTTATGACCTAGTCCTATCGATGATGACCTCTAACCTCCTGTACGTAACTTTTGTAATTCATCCCTCTTTCGTTATGGTAGGTTTGGGTTTGAATTTAGGAACAAACCCCTTTCTTACACAAGCATTGCATGATGTTTAGAAATTTTCTCTTGTGTGAAATGACTAAAAATCTCCTATTCTGCACCGTGTCGTTTGTTCATTTCCTTCATTGCAAAACCTTTTCAGCACCCATAATTGTACTACCCACCAGGTTGCGGCTAAAATTAGGATTAAAATTATATTTGTCAATTAAATGCTGGTACAGTATTTCATTAATTTAAATTACGGTAAAAAGAACAATTGTGGTAATATGGGAACCACATTCAATTGTATAATTTTATTAATTTGTAAACGACCTCGACTAAATGTATTAAAATTTCCCGTAAATTTTGTGTCCAGTAAACTTTTCGGCCGCTAATTTGCATACCAGAATACACATATTGCTGTTTTGCATTTTTAGGGTAAGCCGTATAGAATGAGGACAGAATTCCTTACAACGTATTTAACGTTGCCTCAACAGCTAGTTTTTGTTCCAACTTTCGCATCCTTTACAATACATTTTCTTATCTCAGGTTCGCCCAAACTCTATTGTTCCTATCATATTAATACTTTTCTTTTAAAACTTCAAAGCTTTTCTGAAAAGCTTTTTATTTCCATGTGATTTTCATGCAGTAGTTAAAGCATTAGGATTTCTTCACGCGTAACAATTTTATGGTTACTTTTTTTTACAAATGCAATGCCGTTATGTCATATAACGCTTTTAAACAAGTCAGATTTTACACGAAACTCAATTGTCGTTTCGCAACCGCTGAAAGGCGCTATCAGTGTCGCTTGTATGCCCGTCGTATGCGCGACAGCGTGCCTCAAATGTAAGTAATTAAGCCGTATATACAGTGCTCATTAGTAATTTTTGTCATTTTATTTAATAGGATTGACGTTTCGCATATAGAAGTTATTGATTAGGTACGTGAAATACTGAATACCTATGTGTCGTTCTATCATTTACATGCATGCGGTTTTGCCATCAAACAAAAATTGATCGAAAAGGCTTGATAAACGCCATCAACTGCGTACTTTAATCTACTAATGAAACTCTGATTTACTAAATATATGGACAAGTATAATCAGGCAGCATTCTTTAACGGCTGAAACTCTAACATTCTCTATCTATGTATTATACTGTTGTAATACCTGTAAAGGTATCAATTAAAGAACCTCTTAGTTTAGATACTTTATTAGAATTGATTCACTTAGGTGGCAATCACCTATGCGGGAAATTGCAATAATGTAAAGTCAACATTCGATTGGAGTTTGACCTCATACTTATTACATAGGTAGTTAATTTTATAATAATTAATAACATCACTACACTGTTATGTATTCGCCGGACGAAGTTTTCATTAAAAATTCTGCAGGTATAAAAAACTGATGTATTTTATGACAGACCTCTATACTTAGAACCATAGACCCCATCACAAAAAAAGATTATAAACCTAACCTTACAGGTGGTTTGGTAGCTTGAACGTGTTATAATACCAGTTTTAACTATGAGTAGAGTGCTTGGTGTGGTTTCTTTATGATCAGGAAAAAAAATTTCAGCTGGGTTTGATGATGATTTTACTTTTTGTAAAATCATACGACTAAAAATGGAACAATTTATAACTAGCTAAAGTTTCTCTCAGGCGTTTTTATGAGGGGCATTTAATTTCATTTACAACGGCAGTACGATTGCACTTTCTAACCAAGCAAACCTTAATTAGGAACATTTGAGTACACTAGGACAACCTTATTCTGACGTATTTTAACGATGAGAATAATTCCAATTGGTACATTGAAAAACATGACAAGAACAGAAAAGAGACGTGTGAATGGCAATTAGTGGGGGGTGAATTTTTAAGGAGATAATTAACAATTTTTATAAAGATATCGAATGAACTAACAATTTTATAGGGATAAGGCTACGACTTATTGTGTATAAGGTCATGTCACAGTGCAATTTTCTTTGGGGTTGATTTTTTTACCAACGAACATGGAAAGTCTCATTTAAATCGGGTGTTACAGCTTGGAAGGTTTCCTTGTTAGTAAACCTGTATACTGTTTCGTGTCAGCAGGCACTTTATATGCTGTTTACAAGAAATATCCCTCAAATGAATACGGAGGATTTAATTTGCCCTTGCTTCTCAAATTCAAAGTGCGGACATCAATTCGGAATGACATGACGGCGTCTCATAAAGTAAATTACGAATATTTACTTGCTAACTTGTGAGAGAATACACTTGGTAACAATTTTTATCCAAAATCGTATATGGCTGTTGAATCCTCGCATTCCTCAAAATGCTCAGGGGTGAGAGAGTGACAGTAAATGGATTGTATAACTACCCATTTTTAATGGCACAAGATCAAACGCTGCGTTATGAGCAATCTTTCGTAACAACTTTAAAGTCTTCCTGCATATTGATACCCAAATGGGTAATTATAATCTCATAAAAGTTCAAGGCTCAGTCGAGATTTTTTCTCGAGAGCATTAAAATAGGTGCATGAAATAGGAAATGGCAGAATAAATAAATTATACGCATTGATTTTGTATCGAAACATAAAAAACCATTATATTAATTCATGTAGTTATAAAATGAACAGTAACCATAGAAGAGCGTTACAAACAATAGTGTAAATATGATTTAATAATCGTCACGGTTTTATAGTATGAGTTTATGTTATAGTATTAAATTCGTAATGGGTGTTATAATTTTGTTTCAGGAGGGCTAATTGATTTGAGTGCTTTTTTCAGATCGAAAAAAGTTGGATGATCAATTGTGAACGTTTTGCGAGGATTTAATTACTGACGTTCATTTGTCAGATTTACTTATGTGACGGCCAAGGGTTGGTCATCTATCTCGTTCTGCGTTATTGAGTGTACTTTTGACCCGATTGCAACCGCCAAGAACTATGTTATATCGGTGTTACCTTGATGAGATTTATTGATTGTAGCTCTTTGTTCCGATCTTGCCTTTGAAACCAATCACGGTAGTGTCAAATATAACAAGCTCCGTTTTAACTACACGACTCCCTTAAGCACCTGCCAATAAAGTTCTCAATTCGGCAATGCTTGATTTAACTCTTCCGTCGAGTGATGGACAATAGATCCGAAATTTAGATATACACACCCCCTTCTTTAGTGCTCGACTTTGACGAGAGGACGGCACCGCGTACATGCTCAAATCATTTGTAACGTATTTCGATGTAAAAAATGTTGAATTTGATTGTAATGGTAGTATAGTAAAATGACTAATAGTGGCCGCGAGGAGGTGCGCGAGCGACGTCGGTCAGGGGTAGCGCGGTAGACCTCGTGGCGTCGTGGCGCACTGCTTGTTCGTTGTTGCAAGGGGACGGTTACGGCTCTATTAGTGTACGTTGCTACACATGCACGTTACTTTAAATTGCGTTTAGGACAGTAACAATTTAAAACAATTTTAGCATGTTTTGTGAGCGGTTTTCGTTAGTGTTATTGTTAAGGTGCAACTACAGCGTCGGTCTTTTCGCGGCAATGTAAGTCGGTTGCCGTTTGCGTATGGTATGTACGGTGCTTGGTCTTTTCTGTTTCTGCTGGCTGCGGTAAGCTGCGTAGCCGCCAGCGAGTTTCCAGAAAGAGAGTGTTGTGATCCCGAATATCCACCAGCGCTGCCTACGATCCCCAGTACTACGGTCATCACTTCCACTGACCGTTCAGGTGAGACCCCTCATCAATCACAATTACGCTACCAGTCCGTGGTAGACCAATCGTTTCCCGTCCTTTTTCAACACGATCTGATCTTTTTTACCATTAATCACCAGAATTTTATCTATTACATGCCTCTTTCGCCTTTATTTAACCATAACTCTCCCACGAACGTAATATAGATGATATTGTTAAATGACGTGCGGCAGGAGCACTTAAATTTGAAGTATAAAAGCATTTATTGTAAATATCTTAAAGTGCAGAACGTTATCTCAGAAAGTGTATTAAGCTTCCAATGTGTAGCATGTCACATGATGTGGCAGTTGTTGAATTTTTAATATCGTCCGTTGTAGCTGTCTTGCATACGACAGTAGCAAGGGATTGCCCACCATTGCCTTTTAAATAATGGTTTCCTTTACCCTTTTTCAAATTTAATAATCGCAAAACAGTTCCGTATTGCACTTAAACCAAACCACTTTAAAAGTAGATCAACCATCTTCTAATGATCAATTTCCAGTTTCACATTTCCACAGTAAGTGCGAACTAAATGATTAATGAATATAGACTGCTGTTCATAAAATATTAAGGTTCTTTAAAGTTTATCAATTTGCATATAGCTCTGATGGATTTAGAAAATCTCAAAGTTGGTACGTTAAGACTTCTAAAATTATGTTTCACTTTATATGGGCCCGTAATTTATAGGATTTTGTAGGGTCCAAACATTTAAATTAACTCATCTCTTTGAGAAAGTCTATCTATACGCACCCCTCTTAAAATTTTTGATATTTGAAGCTCAAGTTTATCGGCGAAACTTTATTTTACAGATTATGAACGTTTCCTTGCGATTATGTTGCCGTAAACTCCCAAACAACATAAAACAACGGCGAAGAATATTTCAATTTCCATTTAACTTCATTATTCCCCCAACAAAAATTTGCAAATTCGCTTTAGTACAAATCGTTACTTTCATATTTTAATGCATTCATAAACCTTTCATTTTGACCGCTATCTTTATACAAGTGCCTGCTATTAACGTTTCCTTAATCATCATTTGCTACTAAAAGCGCAAATAATGAAACAGTGAAAAGAGAGTACGCGTGCAATACTGGCAACGAAATTTATTCTGAAAAGACAGATACCATGGTGAATCTAATTACTAGTAGGAGGCGTGTACGTAGATAAACTTGAAACAACAAAGGGCGCAACTGGAGTAATGCGGTCTCGCCAAATTCGCGGATTCGCAGAGCATTAAACGCTTAAATACAATTTCGCTCGTTAAATATACATTTTTTGTATAACTTCGTGATTGCACGTGCAAACTTACGGTTGAAAGATAAGCACCTATTATTTGGTATTACATATAAGCTGCGTTCAGAACAATCCTTTACGGTAGCGATTTGAACTATCTGCAAGACCTTCCATTTGTTTAGTTGTGTGTTCAGTTAAATTGAGAGAGTCACTTTTTAAATTAGATGATAGATAAGTGTTCCTTCACTAAGTAGCCCTACGAATCCCGAAGGAGGAGTATCGAGAGCATACCTACCTTTTTGATTCATGCAACTTTAATTTCGAAAATTTTATTTAATAGGGCTCCTCTGTGACCAAACTTCGTGAAACAAAGTCTTTAGAGTAGATATCTAACAAGTCTTGGACTCAGTTTTTAATTAATCACAATAATCACAAGTAAAAAATATCTATGTATTCGGAATCGTGGATACCGCCCTTAAGTTCATATCTCCAAACAACTTGGCAGAAAAGGGAGACAATGGGGGAATATTGCGATAACCACGCCAGCACATATAAGGGCATTGGCATGAAGTTATCTTCTGTATTTGCAGGCTCCCATATGGAGTAAATTAAACGATCCACTACTAATTGACAACCGTGAAAAAAACCGTTCGAATACCTAGAGAAGCAGCCCTGTAATGTAGTAGCACTAACGTTAAACTTAACGTGCAGGCAAACATTATATTATACTAAATAACGCAAAATAACGTTTTTTGGCAGATAATCTGCACGTTAGGTTTGACTTTTCTGACACGTTACAGGGCTGAATGCTAAAATACTGCAACCATTTAAACATTTATTTTGATGGCCCAAAAACTGACATGGGAGTATTAGGATGTGCAGTATACAGTGTGTCCCAGATCGCGTGGGATTGCATGGGTAACTTTGTTATTATTAAAGATAGAGAATTGGTTAAATGGGCAATGTTTTGCAGTTTTGGATGCTTATTTAAAATTTCCTTATGGAAATTCAAAATGTCGCATAGGTTCGACGTAAATTCAAAAAAACTAAAATTGGTCATTTCCTTGAATGTCTTATATCATCGAACGTATAAGAGATATAAAAAAAAGTTTTATATAAAAGTGACCGTCTTTGATACGATTAATTTAGAATTAATGTCAAAAAAAAATTCAAGATGGCCACTTTTGAGGAACATTTACCAACTTCCTAAAGTTAAATGGGCGCCATATTGGATTTTTAGATTACTTGATAGATTTTTTAATTTTCTTTTCAACGAGCCATCATAACATAAGATTGAAAATAAGATACCAGTTATATTCACGGTTTTTATATTTTAATCAAGTAGGCTGTGATGAATTTAAAAAAAACAAAACAAAATCTATGCGAGCCAACAAAACAATGAAAATAATAACATCAGATGTTTAAAAAATCAGGGGCGCACTCATGAGAGGGGGGTTTGGGCAATACAACTCCCTCCAAAATTTTATATAAGTAGGCCTAGAAAAATTTTGATTTTTATATCATCACTTATTGACTATCTTATTATCCATACTTACATACCTACAAATGGTGGTATAACTACAAACTATCCCCTCGAAAAAATGTCATGCCATTATCCAGTTAAACACATTTCAAGACAATTTGCTTTATTTTACACAATGTATTACCATTGATGCATTGTCCCAGGTCACATTTTGTAGGTCAGTAGGTGGTTTATCCGCAAGAATATCGAAACTAACAGTTTTACCAGTCCGAGTATATGGACAGGTGAATCTTATTTTTCTAACTGCGGAGTGTTCAAATCGACATAATGAACACTTTACTCGTCACAGGAAAACTTATATGTTGTAGTTTCACGCCGAAATCAAGTAATATTTTTTTTAATTAATGGATTTTATGGCATAATGAGAAGTCATGTAATTGGCCGGTAATCTTCGTTGGATCTTTAACTGCTCACCATGATTTACAAATTCTCCAATAAACTTCCTTAAAGGATTTTTCTCGACAACGTATGTTTCGAAGAAAGGGTTGGTTTATGCTACCTACCAACAAGCTGTCTGCACTGGTCACAATTCACGAATTATGTACAGTACATTAAATTATAAAATTAAGTACTTAATTAAAAATAAAAGTAAAGTGGAAGTAGCGACCACCACAATAATAATCATCAATGGCAACACGTTGCCTAAACTAAACTGCCTTGAAGTGTGTTTCGCTAATAATGGCCAGTATTTTAAACATCTGGTGTAATTATTTTCATTGTTTTGTTGCCTCGAATAGGTTTTGTTTTGTTTTTTTATTCGTCACAGACTACTTGATTAAAATACAAAAACCGTTAATATAACTGGTATCTTATTTTCAATCTTATGTTATAATAGCTCGTTGAAAAGAGAATTTAAAAATCTATCAAGTAATCTAAAAATCCAATATGGCGCCCATTTAACCTTAGGAAGTTGGTAAATGTTCCTCAAAAGTGGCCATCTTGAATTTTTTTTGACATCAATTCTAAATTAAACGTATCAAAGACAGTCACTTTTATATAAAACTTTTTTTTATATCTCTTATACTTTCGTTGATATAAGACATTCAAGGAAATGACCAATTTTAGTTTTTTTGAATTTACGTCGAACCTATGTGACATTTTGAATTTCCATAAGGAAATTTTAAATAAGCATCCAAAACTGCGAAACGTTGCCCATTTAACCAATTCTCTATCTTTAATAATATTAATAACAAAGTTACCCATGCAATCCCACGCGATCTGGGACACACTGTATATGTAGCGGGCAAAACTGTTAGGTGGACCTGTCCCTAAATAAGAAAGTTTTTTGCAATAACTTTTTATGTAAGTGGCACAGAAATCTCTGCGTTATAAGAGCATTGCCACTTTATTACAGACGTTAAAAAACCTCTCAAGCAATTACTTCAGTCACTTCAAGAACCTTGTTAGAAAGTAACATATCCTCACATTTCGAAAAAATGGTCCTTAGGCTGTAGAAAATGTCGGGCTTCTTCTCCTAGTAGGTTTTTGAAAATTTTCACTTAGGAGTGATTCTGAAGGCCGAATAGATGAAAATATTTACAAAATGGTGACACTTTGTTGTTACATTTTCGGGTTCTACGTAAAATTTCCTCTTTCTTCTTATGACAATCGAATTTTAAACAAATCAAAGAAAGGATTCTTTAATATCATTGATTCTAATGTAAATAATTAATTAACAAAACAGACAACAATGCTGAGCTAATTGAGAAACACAAAGTTATATGAATATAAGATCAAATTATTTTAGAACCCTCTCTTCTTCAACACATGCTCAAAATGAGCGCATTCGTGTTTCAAACACAATTCAATTCTTTTTCTTAAATGTTTTCTTATCGAGTTTTCTATCGCTTATGATTCAATGGCTTGTATACATACTCTCCAAGATCATATCTTCTCTTGTTGTGGGAGGTCTGGCATAAACTGTGTCTTTTAGAAAAAGAAATCTAATGGGAAAAGGTCCGGGAAACGAGCAGGTTAAATATATGGCCCGCGGGTTCTGATCTAATTCCCTGGACAGGTGGCATCTAAAAACTCGGAAATAATGCATGGGCACCATCCTGCAGAGGTAGATCTTCTGTTGCAGGAACACCAATAGTACGTAAAATTTACGAATAACGTTCTGCATTAAAATTTTCTTGATACACATGGGAACACAAAATCTCGTTATTTTTCAACCCACAAACCACATTAAAACTCCAGCACTCTTGGAAGTGTACTTCTC